CAAATGGCGAATTTCCACTTTACATTAGGGCCCGTAAGCCCAGTTCAAATTTTTTTTATTCAAGCTCAGTTTTTATATAACACCGATAGGAATGTAAGCAAAACAATGTATGGTGGCGCAACTAAATTTTTCAAACTGGTTTAAAATTAAAATGGATTTTAAAAATCCGCAATTTAGGGTGCACCCTAAGGATAATATTATCTTTGACCCACCTTACTTAATAATATAATAAATATGGCTTGACATATTAATTATTATTTTATTATTGGTATTGCTCAAAAATGGTCAATGATTTAAAAAATTCAAATTCAAATATTTTTTCAGTCGTTTTTGATTTTCGGGCCACTTTTAACCCCTGATATAGTTTTGGTAGTTAAAATGAGCGACAGTAGATGGGGGTTAACCCTTTGACTCCCACAGGTACCAGAACCCTCTTGAAATCCCATAACAATATTTTTCATTAAATTAAATATATAAGATCTGCTGCAGATGTACAATCAATGTACTACCATTATTGCTAGGGGGCCAATAAAATAACTATATTTTTATGTTTTATATAAAACAAAATGGCGGTACTTAGATGTATCGTTGGAAGGAAATTGCACTGGTTTAATTTTAACAGCATTCAATTTTGCTGGTACCCAACCTATTGCATGAGATTAAATTATGTACAGTTGACGACATCCGAATGTGAACGATTTTTGGGTATCATGTATTTTTAAAAGAAATTAATTCCTGTAAGTCCGGCTTTTTCTAGTGGCAAAGAGAGGGTAGAATATAAAGAAGAACATAAATATTTTACTTTCATTATTATCGTTTTGCAGACTGGACATTGAATGTTTAAATGTTTAAAAGAAAATAACAGTAACACTTTTTATTTAAAAATTAACATTTAACAAAGTTGTAAAAAAATTGGTAAACTATAGTTTACCAATTTTTTTACAGCTGATTTAAATGTTAGTAAAAGCTGCATATTTTACATCAAGAAAAGCTGACAGGAACAACAAAGATTATAAAGACATTTCAAAAAATCTGTAATAATAGAATATTATTAGTTTGGAATACGGCATATTCCGCCCGAGTAAAAAGTTTGTCACACGAGCCGAATGCGAGTTTGACGGTTTCACGAAGGCAGAATATGCAATTCCAAATGTGTTTCAGGCGATACTTTTTCTACGTTTTCATACCATACAAAAATAATTTCATTTGGAGAAAGTGGGGTTGGATTATACTAAATAATGAACACAAAGATTTCACCTCCAGTGTTTATTCCGTCATCCGGTGATAGAATAATTCATTTTGTAACACTTTAAGGAATATATGTAATTCCACATAAAAAGTGATATTAGAACGGTCATATATCGTAATATGAGTAAAAAAAGGTATTTCATGAGAATATCAGTAAAAATCTGTTTCCTCAACCGAGCGAAAAGTACAAATTTGCGCTTCCAAAAGAAAGTGCACTTTTCCGAGGAGCAAGCGAGCGACAAAGTAACCAAAACTCTCGCTTAGTGGAAACCATAATAACGAAACGTCTAGTATACACTGCGAGTTTTGACATAAAAAATTTGAGGTAATCATTAATTATTCATTATTACCAAACATTTTTATAAAAACACCGGTTGAAGAAAAAATCCTGTGTGTAATTCGAGCGCAAAGTGCCATTGTCAAACTTCTCGCTCAGAGCGACAATAATACTTTACTAATATTAATACTTTATTGCAGAACCATTAGCTGCCACAACACTCTTCAGTTTTCTGGACATGGACATAATTAATGTTGCATGTTGTGGGAATCAACAAGCTCTTCCCAAGCATATTTAACAGCGTGCGACATTTGTTCTGTGGCGGAAAACTCAAAGTATTCTACTATTTGATGACTAAAAGATCGTTTCATCGGAAAATACTACATTTTTCTAAAAATCTTTACCGTTATTTATTTTCAAACTATACTCGCCTGCGCCTATTTTCATATGTTAAAAAAGTTTGCAGGCAGCAGCTCAGTTTTTTTAACCCAGCTTGTTTTAAACGTCTTCAAGCAGTTTTCAGAGATAAATGAGTAATAATGTTACTTTTCGTGCTGCCACAGCGATTTGGCGGATATTTTCGATGAGAGCATTGTCCTCATTCTTATAATAAACCTTTCCTCCACCTTTGTTTGATAGGTCTTCGCACTTAATGTTGTTCCTGCCAGCGTTTCTTAATATAAAATATGCAGCTTTTACTAACATTTAAATCAGCAGCCATCTCACTTGAGGACCAATTTTTTATCAATTTTTCTTTCGTCACATAATTTTGACTTTGTATAATCTAAAAGTCCGCCGCCGCGGCAGCGGCGCGCCGATGGTGGACTAGTGGTTAGTATTGCTGACTACAAGAGGTCGTGGGTTCGAATCCCACCAGGGGTATGGCTGTTTATTTGTGTTTGTCCTATTGTATATAAGTCCTTCGGACGGGACTTTAAGCCCTTCGGTCCGTTCCTACCCCTAACCCACTCAAGCCATTCAGTTGGCTTCTGGGACTTCTTAGGAAGTAAGGGTGGAACTAAAAGAGCACTTTTGTATTTAGGTAACTGACACCATTTCATGGAAAACAAATAAAAAAAGTTTATTTAATTTTTGACACCCTGAATAATGCTGATTTAAAATAGAATATTTCCAGCATACGCATTAATATAAAAAAATATCATTTTTTTAAGTAAATTATTTTATATGTGTTCAACATGTTATGTTATATATCATTTAATAGCTGCCTTGGTGGTCAGTTACAAATGCAGAAAAACTAATGAGTTTTTCCAACATACCTATTTGAAATTTTAACTGTATATTACACATAAAGTATTTTTATGCCTCTTTGTCTCTGTATATCAAAATAACTAATTACTTTAAGCAAAAACAATAAAAACGTAATTTTAATGTTAATTATAAAAATTTCTATTGCAAGATAAAACCTTTTTGTGTAAAATATAGTAATAAATTTAACCGTTTTATTATATACATGGTATTTATCTACTCCACTTAATAAAAACAACAATTAAACCCAGCAAAACAGATAATATAACAACAACTAATTAACATTATAATTTTATACTAGATATTTGTTAAAGATTTTCAAATTATTAAGAGACATTGTACATTTTTCAATTACCACATTATATCAGATCATAATTGTATACACTCGATCCTCCCTGTGCCCCTTTACCCACTTATTAATGTCTGTAATCAGTTTCAATCAGTAATACAGCTGCTAGTTGTGAAACGCCAGTATCTACTTAGAACTATCAACTGTACTCGTAATTGCTGCGCTATGGCTCCAAATATACCTTATAATTTACCGCCAAGAAAGAAATAAAGGCTACGTACGACTTAAACAAACTGTTCTCCATCAAATACAATCTTCGAGTAACAGGTATTTATCATTATAATATTTGTTAAATATTTATTGAAATTATTACTTGTCTGCTAAATTAAGGATTTTATTTCATCTAAAAAATTAGTACTTTAATTTAATTGTTTGTATTTTAACAGTTGTTGAGTAGTAATTTAATAATTGTTTATCAATTTTTCTTTCACTTTTTCAACGTTTGTATCGGTGATAAATCAAAGAAGAAAACACCAAATTAGGAGTTGCCGACCATGGTTGGTCAAAACAACATCAAAAACAGTGGCCAGGAACAAAGTTCTGCACAAGAAACCACAATGAAAAAATAAACTATAAGTATAATAATTATTATTTAATCTCTTCATTGTCTACCACATTTAACAAACCAGTATTATTAATTATAGCAAATTAATTATTAATTATTATTTTTGTATGTTCCTAATTTGGATTCAAGAAAAACAGTGAATTTGAATAATTTTATAAAAACTTTTATATTAAACGTATACATTTCATGAATATATAACTTAAATGTATATAAAATTTAGATGGCCCATCAAATCTTAACAATTGTTTTTGCATGATGCTATTAGCTTTATATTGTATTTGCTTTTGATTTGTAGGCTTAAGAATTATTTGAATACTACAACATAAATTGATTTAAAAAATTGAAACGTCAGAATAATGCACCTATTGGATGTTGTTTCTAAAACTCTCCTCCACAGTAGCAATAAAACAGTTTTTGACACCTTAAGCTATTTTAAATAAAATCGAATAAATCATTTACAAATATGTGTGAAATGTACCAAAAGCCTGCTAGTGTTGATTGTTTAACAGCATATTAAAATAACATTAAAGGATTTTTCAATCTGTTCCATGTGTAGCGCTTAGTTATTTTAGATGGTAATTAGATTTTCATACCGAGAGAGTTGGAAATCATCGGATGGTACCTGTCAGAGTCTAGACACTGCAATGCAGTGGCGTAACTAGGATTTTTGTGCCTCCGAGCTAGCAACATAACAAAACAGCCCACCGATAATTATGAAGTACCTACACAGGCTGGTATCAAAGATACCTAGTTAAAACGGTTACTGAATTGTAATTAAATAATGGGGGACGTGAATTTTTTTGCAAAATATTCTGATAGATTTTGTTTGCACTATTATAAATTCTTGATTCACTCAAGTATTATGATAATCATTTTATTTTGTTTGATTTTTATAGCTTATAATTTGATAATACGGTGTAAAATAAAAAGCTATTTAATTTTCATTAAAATAAAATCGTATTTCTTAATTTTTTTATTTATTTTACATACATACTTTTATTATGTGGTTAAATACAGTCAGTAATTTGAGTTTTCAAATGCGAATTACCATGTTTAGTCCCATTCAGTCCTTGGCGCGCTACAAACCTTAGAAAGGGAAGGAAAGCCATTTAAAAATACGAATTTTAAGACGTCTTTTAGTTTTATTATAAAAAATATGTCAATTTTACACATAGAGGTCTTTATTAAACCATAAATAAAATACATATGCAAATATGGTTTGGTTAAATAACCCTCCGTTACCCGCGTCAAATTGTATTCGCGTGACGTCTGTGAGACCCCCGATTAATATAATCGGCTCTTTGGTTATTACTGTTATTATTCAAAATGTTAATAATAAAAGCCCAAAATAATTCTAAACATTTATTTAAAATGGAAAATAAAAAACTAAAAATTAATAGAAAAAAATTCTTAATTTTTTTGCCAATTAGCTTACCACATGTGGAAAGAACATGGCCGCCCAGGCCACCACCAATGCAAATGCAGCATTCATGCAAATATATATTTTGATGAGGTCTGCCAGACCCCACGCGAGTAACGGAGGTTTAGATTGACCCAACAACCGACTATTTCCTTAATAAATTTTATGATTTACATAAATTGTTTTTGCTATCCATGGGACCCAATTTTTAACGCAATTTTAAATGTATAAAACTGGTCGACAGCAATTTTGCTACATGCCTTGCTCCAACTTTCTAGGGTAATTTTGGTGCTAAAAAATTACCATAATTTTGCTCAAATAGCTTATTTTTAAGATATTGCAAACAAAGTTTTAAACTCGTAGATATATTTTGGTAATAAATTATACACATTCATAATTTGTTTTCCTTTAAAAATCCTGTTTTTAACAAAATAAAATTGTTTATCTAAGTAGGGGTACTCCTATTGCATAATATTGTTTTTTATATATAATTATTACCATTATAAATTTTATGCCCAACAATGGTAATAATGAACACATTATTTACGTTGTAAGGAATATCAACATAACCAATGACAGTATTTTAATAACAATATTATATTGACAATATATGTATATATATATATACAAATTATATTACTTGTATAAAAAACGCTTTTTTACAATTTCATTTTATTGACCAGTGTAATTAAAGCTTTTTTTTCTTAACCAAAACGCTTAAAATTGTTAACATTTAATTTTAAACTACAAAGTAAATAAATATAAATTATTTTCATAATCCATATTGTATTTCTATAATATAAACTGTAAATTAAAGTTTTGACGCTTGTTATTTCCAATAAATTATAATTTTTAGGTAGCTGTGGGTACTAGCAAACATACAACTATGTGGTAGGTAAGTAGGTACCTACGCCTCTGCATATGTAAGGTACTTCGGAACGCCTACATCTAAATAAGAAATTGTTAGGTTATAGACCCGCCTTAGATATATATCTTTATAAATACAACCTGCCTAATTATGATAAAAAGTTTATATACAAAAAGTAAAATTGTATTTAATAATAGGCTAACGTCGTGAAAGGAAAGTTGAGGTTTATAAAATAACTCAATTCCATTGTAAGTAAATAAGATTATTATTAATTATAATTATAATTAATAATAATAATTATTATTAAAAAAATTATAATTTTCCCATTTCAATTTAAATACCATGTAAAGAATCGGAACATTAAAACTATAATAGAGATTCTTTTAGGAAATTTAACGCTCTATAAAAAAGCAGTTTAATTGATTATTTAACATTTCATTTGATAAACACCAATCCTATTTGATAATCTGTCAACTTTCTTAAAAAAGTTTTAAAAATAGTTAAAAAAAAATCAAAAAAGTAGTCTATGTATGTAACTATCCAGCCCATAAGCTATCTTTATGCAAAAAGTCACGTCGATCCATCGCTGCGTGAAAGAGGAACAAAACGGTAGCGACAGAGTAAAAAGATCCAAGTCCTCACCTGCGCGTAGTCTACCCAGGGCCGTTTCTGGCGAGCGTGCAGTGCGTGCACGCACGCAGGCGTAACATTTTGGGGGCGCAAAATAAAAAGAGTCAATCGGTACTTTGTAACTATAAACTTTCTTGCAAATAAACAAATACTTAAACATACATAGAATTAGGTTGCAGCTATTTTTTTCGGCAGCTATAAAGCAACTTTTGCCGCTTTAATATTAGCGACTTATTTTTTTTTTTTGATATATATATCAAAATAAAAGGAAAAAAATTGTCATAATATTTTTAGTATTTGTTTGATAGTTGCAGTTGACGGTAGCAAAGTTTAACAGTAGCCTACACAGTGCATGACTTTGTAACTATAGGAATTAGTCAAAAATGACCAACAGCAATTTGTATCTCGGACATTTAGCAGTCAACTCCTATGTAAAATTGTCCGCTGAATCTGAAAATGTCGTCAAAAGTTATAAAAGTACATAGAACAGTTTTTGAGATATAGTCAATTTTCCATATAAAATGGAATATACAATATCTCAAAAACTGCTCTGTTTTCATAATTTTTTACGGTATTTTCGGATTCAGGGGACAATTTTACATAATAATAAGCTGTCAAATGTCCAGGATACAAATTGCTGTGGACTACAGTTATTAGTGAATTCTCTTTCACTTTAAAAACTAGTCATTATTGACTAATTCATTTTTAGAGAGTTTTTAGAGAACTGTTTATATAGTTTTTTAAAAAAACTTTTTTTGTTTTATTTAGATTATTTTTTACCAATTATTTTTTGTGATTTTGTTTGTTTGGTAATTTAATAAATATTTAAATTTATATTTTTAAAATTTTAGGGCTTAAAATTAAAATATTTAATGTGCTACTGGTACTAACAAACACTTTTTGCATTTATATATTGCATATTATATTATAATGATAATTTTTTTGAGTAAGTTGACAGACTATCAAACAAGATCATGTTAAATTAGCGATTAATATGTTATATATGTTATAGGTACTCAAAAATGTTAATATGCGAATATCGGTTGATGTAGTTTATAAGTCAAGCGGTTTATGAAAAAAAAATCAAAATTTGTCCATATTTTAATATCAGTTAAATGGAAATGGAAAATTTAAAATATCAATGCTAAGATCATACTGGACTGAGATATATTATTTGAGACGCGCTACCTAAATAATAATAATTAAATAAGATAATTTAAATTAATTGTAAATTTATTCAGTTTTAAAAACTAATAAATAATTGTAACGCGCTCCTAAAAAACGAACCTTAGTCCTTCGGAGGGGACTTTAAGCCCGCGGTCCGTTCCTACCCCTAACTCGCTCAAGCCATTCAGTTGGCTTCTGGGACTTCTTAGGAAGTAAGGGTGGAACTAAAAGAGCACTTTTGTATACAAACTTTTTTTTGTATATAAACATGATTTTCGAGATTATGATTGTTTTAAGTAGAATGGTACACGTTCTTTCGAAAATTTAATAATAATTTGTTTATCTCTAAAACTGACAAAGCTACAAATTTAGCAAGTTCGCGCTGCTTATGCGTTTGTGTAGTAACACAATTCTCGGAGCGCATCACAATTATGTATTGGTATGTATAACTAGAAATTACTTACAATAGAACAACTCAAGATTTTAGAGGTTTTAATTCTACTTCTTTTGTCACTTCTCCTTTTGATATTTCATAGTTCCATTTTTGAATGTTACCCGAGCCAAACAAAATAAAAAACAAACCAGCCAAAAAGTTTACTGAAGATATAATTATAAAAACCATTTTCCAACTTTCAAAATTACTTCCTTCTTTTGTTAGCCATCCAACCATTATGTTTCCGAAGTATCCTGCTAAAGAACCAAACGTCAAACCTGCTCCAAAAATGGTTGCTGCATAATTTGGAGCTATATCCGTTGAATTGACCAAAAAATTTGCTGTGTTGCAACCTTTAAATGAATGGATCAAAATTAGAACTGTCACTGCATATGGGTAACTTAGTTTCTGAAGTCCAAGAATTATTAAAAGTATTGAAGGAATAAAAAAGGATACCACTATGAAGATCTTGCGCGTCATGGTAGTTGAGATGCCGTTTTTTCTTATGCAGTCAGCTAAATAACTTCCAATACAAGCAAAAATATAGTTACCTAAAAAGTAAATATTATTACAGGCATATATAATAGATATTATTACCTATATAAGGTAATGATGAAATTAATCCATTATCGGAAATCTTAAATCCAAGGACGTCGTTAATATAGGTGGGTAATTGAGTAACATAAATCAGATGATAAAATGAGTTTCCAGTTTGTGTGACAATAACCGCCCAAACAGGAACTGAAGTTAACATACTTCTCCATGGTACTTTTGATGGTTTCCTTTGATTATTTACTGTTTGTTCTTTCATATCTTTTAGTAATTGACTTTTTTCATTGAATGATATTCTTGGATGGACATAGGGTGTATCATAAATTGTATAAAACCAAATAGAACTCCAGAACAAACCTACTGCTCCAGACAAGTAAAACACACTTTCCCATCCGAGGTAAACAATAAAATAACCACAAATTGGTAAAGTTATGGCACTTCCCAAACTCTGCGCCATAAAATTGGACGTAAACTTTGATCGATCCAAAGGAGGAATCCAATTTACTGCCAATAAGGGTATGCAGGGAAATGGTGCACTCAATAAAATTCCCATTAAAAATCTACTAGCTAATGCAAAATTATAATGAACTTTGCATATTAATGGGAACAATAGTGTGATAAGACTACCTATTGATATTGCAATTCCAGTTACCCAACGAGCTCCGTACGTTTCGGCAAGTCGTCCTCCGATAAACACTGTTAATGTATATCCCCATAAAAATATGGATAGGATTTCAGTTTTTTGAAGAATTGTCCAATTAAAACTGACACTGTTTGTGGAGTTTGTAGTCAATTTGGTTGAATTAAAATTATTTGGTTTGGTCATATCGATTATAGCTATTACCAGATTCATTCTAAGCATATAGTTTACACCACATCCAGTGATTATCATCAGGTAAAGAACTGTGGTACACGATAAAAAGCCTTCAAATTTTAAATTTAAGTAGTGTTTAAACATTATAATATAATACTTACCTTGTTGTCCCATGTTTTGGTATACATAAACGAAGTAAAAATGATATTTTTAATTTAAAATAGAAAAACCTTGAATATGATAAAGAATGCTTTTAATTATATATAATTAAAAACTAGATAACGTTTTAGTACACCCAATTTGGTGATTTATTATTATAAACTAGCAATTATTTAAAAATTATTCAAAAACATAAATATATGATAAAAACACCACATTAAACCCTATTTTAAAAGATCTCTGTCGACCTTTACAAATTTTGTTATTACCATCACACCTATGTTTTTTAAGTATTAACCAACAAGCTTTTACTTAAGAAATGTTAAAAACACCATATTAGAGCTAATTATGTTAGATAACATCTGTGACAATCTTAATAAAGTTATCTCATAATTAGAATACTTATTTCTCTGAAAAATACAAATTTCCCTGAAACAACTTCGAGATTTTAGTTGTAAGGACAAAAGTTCAGATTTTAATGCAGTCCATAAAGACGTTAATGACCCCGCAAGCAAATGGTAAGTGATACAAGCGATGCATAAGGGAATCTGTGGTCACGTCTTTGGAACATCCAGGCGGCATTAACAGGGACATTCGGTACACAAACTTAGTTAATTATGCGTTTGCATGAACTAAAGTAGTCTGCCAAAAGTGGTGTTTTATTTGTGGCCATCACCAACCCTGAATTACCAGCCTTATTAAAAATTTAAATTTGCTAAATTAGAGGCATTTTTTAAATTTCAAATACTTTATGAGCAACGTAGTAAAACATAATCACCATCGAATTAAAACAAAATGGTCTTTTAAATTAAAAAAAATACTTAATTGGTCTAAATTCGTTTAATTAAATAAATTTCAATATTTAATTTTACTCAAAATAGTATAAAACCTAAATTAAAATTAATGCGTCATAAAAAAGGTTAAATATTTTTTTCGTTCTCCTGCGATTTATTTTAGAAAAACGTAAAACCCTAACTGCTAGGAATTATAAATCGGACAATATAGTCCAGAAAACAAAGATTGTAGAAGGAAAACTCGATGGTAGTCAGGTTTTATTTTTTTTTATGTCAGGGGTGCTGATAATTATCATTATCATTATAATGAATTATCATTATAATGAATAAAAAATATTCCCCAAAAATTTCTTTCAGTGTCCCCTAATTTCATCCCCCGAAAGGGGAGTTTTTTTGCTTTTTGGGTCATAACTCGCTAACCGTGCATTTTTTCAGAATTTGACCTCTAATACTTTTGATTACGTACTAAATAAGGCTCTTTTGCTATGCGCAGTGTGCAAAGTTGAGCGTTGCTTTTTTGTTTTTTTTTATTATAGCCCAATTTTGAAAGTAATCGATCCCAAACCTTACGGTAATCAAACATAACCGAATGGACAATTTTTTGCAATGAAAATGATTTTAAAAAACTACGGATTCGTTACGAGGATAAGTGTACCTAAAAATCTAGGGTAGAACGAACTGGCTCATTAAAGCCGTTTGGGAAATAAAAGAACCCCCTGTACATTGAAAAGCAGTAATTTTAAAAAAAGTCTAGTACCTCAAGAAATCGTCCATTCGGTTGTGTTTGATTACCTTAAGGTTTGGGATCGATTACTTTTAAAATTGGGCTATAATAAAAAAAACAAAAAAGTGATTTTGAAATCAACGCTTAACTTTGCACAAAGCGCATAGCAAAAGGGCACATCATATAGGTGCTCGATGGGGTTTAACTTAGTACCTTTCGTGGGATGAAATTAGGGGACGCCGAAAGTAATTTTTGGGGAATATTCTTGATTCATTATTAGCACTCCTGACTCTACATAAAAAAAAACCTGACTACCATCGAGTTTTCCTTCTACAATCTTTGTTTCCTGGACTAATAAGTGACCTGGCATTTAATTTCTTTTTTGGCGACGCCCATGAGGGGCCCAGTTATACAGAAAACCTCCCACCCGCCTAAACATTGTTTTTTTTAAATGACTTTTGTTTACTGATTAAAGTGCATATGCACATTAAGGCTAATTTGTTTTGATAGATTGATTAAAATTAAATTGATATCTACATTAAAAATATATTAAAGAATTAATATAAATTTTAAGGGTATTATACCCCTTTTAAACTCATAAATCAATTAGTAAAGTCTCTTATTTTTATGTAAAATTAAAAGATATGCCCTGCATAATTTAAATAACGTGTTTGATTGACAGTATCTAAAAAAACATTAACAAAATCAAAGCACACGTCGTTTGTTAATGTAACAGATTTTTTTTAATAATTAGGCACGATAATATAAATTAAAAACAAGTTTTCAAATAGCAAAGTGCCGTTATAAACTATTTGTTAAATATAAAATCTTTAAAAGGGTTTGTAGAAGATTTAAATGATATTTATATTTTTAGGTCTTGTTAAATTAAGTAATTTTTTAAACAAATGTATTTTCGTACTGTTTTTGTTGAGTTAAGGACCACCTTGACAGATTTTTAAAAGTTTGAAAACATTTTGTAATACAAGACGAACCTCTAACAAATTATATAAAATAAATATGTTTTTTACAAAAATTATTAATAGTAAAAAAATATAATGTCCAGACATAAGAAATATCCAATGGATACTATCCATGCAGGATCTAGCAATAAAGTGTAACTCACCAATGGTATTTATATTAAATTCAATTTGAAATAAATTAATTGAAATTCCCAAGATAATTATCCTTTCTCGCCCTGTCAATCAGGCAAGTATTCAAAACATTTAAACAACTAACAAGTAAAGTCTTGAAAGGTGAGTTGGTTTATTTTTATTGTGAAATGAATTAGCAAGTTAAGAGTACTAATGAAAGAAAAAATAATAACCGTAATTATTACATTTAAAGTTAAAAGCCGTCGCTTTAATGGAACCGAACTCTTTAAGTAAAATTGAGTTTCTATGCGTACGATAAAAAACAATGGGCGTCAACGGGACCAATTGAGTTCACAATATTATGCTGTCACTCATCTGGAAAATAAATTATTATTTAAAAGGAAACCGATGAGTTAAAATATATTTTTTTAAATAAATTAATTTTAATCATTAAATATTTGTTTTTTATTAGTATTTAATTAAAAATATTAAAAGGTATACTATCCTACAGGTGTACAAATTATATAACCAATTTTTTGTTTAAGGTTGTCCTCAAGTAAGTGTCGAATTTGATAAAAATTTATAAATAAATTCTATATGATGCTTCACATCATCCTGTTTAATTTAATAAAAATTCTTGTCGTTGGGAGCCGAGTTGAGTAAAAATACACGGGTTCTTATGGCAGCACGTGGATTGTTACTCTTTTCTCCTTCAAAATAATTATTGATAATGATAGGATTACAATTAAAAATGAGTATATCGTGGAGCGTAATTTCAAAACATAATACGCAAAGTTTCATAATGATCATGTCGGTAGGAAAAAGTTCTATTGGATTAAATCGGTAAATTCACGAAATTTGACGCTTGCACTGGAGATTCGTGGCAACGTCGCTGATGTCAGATAGGAACGCTCTCGCCGGGTGTTACATAGGTGTGAGTGAGAACGTATGTAGCAAGCGTAAGGGTGAAAGAGACAGCGAATACGACGTTGCCAAGCGTTGCGACTGTTATTGGCGAAATTTTTAAAAGCGATGTTAAAGATTTTTATTCATTATTAGCACCCCTGACTTATTCATATTCATACACTAACTATAACAACGCCTCATGAACTGACAATGTAATTACCTGGCAAAATAAAAATAAAAATGGAATTTATACCCATATGAATTTTGATTGCAAGTAGTTGGCAACGGATTTTAAATCTAATGCTTTAGGATAGGACATAGTTCTACCACGATCGAAACACTAACACTCATGCTCGGACAACCTTAAAATGCTGTTCTTAAATTTTTAGGCTAAAAAAATAAGTAGATACACGATACTTTTAATAGTATACTTTGGGTTTATTATTATTATTATTATTATTATTGCCCTAAAACTCAAACCAGAAAAATATTATTAATTAATTATTTTTTTTACCTGTTTTAAGTGATCAATGCTTGGAAAATATTTAAAGTTGATGTGCATCAAATTTTCGTTAAAACATCGCTTATATATTTAAGGAACATAATGGTGGGATCCCCCGCCTCAGAGACAAAACCTTTGCCATCCTTAACCAATCTTACTCGTTGGCTCCTACCTGTCAAAAAGGACTGTGTCCACCTTAGCTCACAGCCCCTTACTCCATACCTTTCCAACTTCTTATAAAGTATATTATGATGTAGGCAATCCCAAGGTAAGGTTTTTATTTTTAAAGTTATCAAAGATTTTTGCAAGAAGCTGTGCACCGCTGTGTCCACTGACCTACCTTAAAGGTAGCCATGCTGATTATTGTTTAACAGTTTGTTTGTTGTAAAAAGTTTATCAATCTAGAACACATGGTCTCGAAGATTTTTGAAAAGGAAGACAGTAAACTTATTGGTTTGTAGTTGTTTATTAACCTTTTTTAATATTGGGCTTACAACAGCAGTCTTCAGTTACTCAAGGAAGACACCATAATCCAATGAGTTGCCTTAGCAATTCTTAAAATCTGTAAACCTTTAGCATATGTTAACATATGCTAAGGGTTTACAGATTTTAAGAATGCAATCCCTAATTAGAGCAGTTGCTCCACTTGTTTTTAAGTTGATTTACAATATTTATAATTTTATTTTCAGTTACCGGAGTAATAGGTATACATAATCTTAGAGTTTGTCCAATATCACATTTACATTCTATGCTTTTACTAAAAAATTATTAAAATAATTACATAAAACTTTACTTAATTATTTTTTAGCGTAACTAAGCATATGAATATGTTAAAAATAAAAGTCAAAATTGGTTGCATGGGAGGAATGGGATTTGATAATTTAAAGAGGAAGTTTTTTTCAAAGGAGATATGGATGTAAATATTTGAAATGGAATATGTTTGAAGGGATAATGGAAAGAAAGTTCCATTATGATAAATATAAGAAGGGTTAAGCCTGAATTAT